GTATTCAAGATATTTAAAATAAAACTACAAAACATATACCAATCTATTCTTTCAGCTATTTATGATTCACCTTTATTATTTGGGGGGGGAATATTTTCTATTTTATTTTCAGTATTGTATACTACTATTGTAAATACTACTTGTAAATTATATATTAGTAACTGTATTCTCATTATTATCATGTTTATTCTTTTTGTTTTACAGTGTTTATTTATACATCTACTGTTATTGTTATTGACATTATTGATAATCCTGACCAATGAATAAATTCATCATGAAGTATAGATTTCTCTGTCAATCAGGATACGATTTAATTTTTAATTTCCTAATTAGTCAATTATTCTTATTTAATTGTTTATAGTTTATTGTTTATTATTATTACTATACTAATAATAACATTATAAGTAGTAATGATAATAATAATAATAATGGTAATACGTAGTATTAATATGATTATCAACAGTTGTTACTAAAACGATTATAGATAAATTATTTTGTCATTGCTAGGGATTTGAATAAATATTGATAAAGTAGTTTATTAAAATGATTATTTATATTTCACAGGTTGAAATCATGAGTCAATTGAACCTAGACCACCATGGAAAACCTGCAAGCACTGGACGGCCGTTTCGTTCTAGTATAGGACTCCTTAGCCCGCGAAACCAGTAGGTACTGGGGTTCGAATCCCGCGGGGTGCGGGATCATGGATACGCACTGCTGAGGATTCCCATACTAGGATGAAACAGCCGTCGAATGCTTCCAGGTTTTCCATGGTAGTCTAGCTTCATTTGACGCATGATTTCAACCTGTGAAATTTCTATAAAAAAATCTCCACAAAACCCATTCTGATTATTTATATGTTAAAATAGATAATCAATAATTACTACTGAAAAATATACAAGTAGTTTAGCAACAAAAATGATATGAATAATAAGTGATTTGTAAGATTTGTTAGTTATTGTATGTTGTTTTACATCAACAATTAATAGCAGATCAAGAAATGTTTGGAAATTTGAAGTTAGCGTAGAACTACTTCATAATGATTTGATATTCTCAACGGTTTCCGTGTAGGGATTGAAACCATAATCTATGTATAGATAATAATAATAATAATAATAAAATCAACTAATGTTTCATTTCGTTTTTGGGATTGTTGAACAATACCTGTTCGTGGTTAAAACTTTAATGATTTGTTTTCAGATCGATAATCTGAAAATAAACACTCTCTTTGTTCAGTCTGAATATTATGGATTTGAGAAAGAGAACAAAATTTTGTCAACATGAAAAAAGAAATCTACATTGGATTCAACAATGAAGAACATTTGTAAAGTGAAATAACGTGTTGAATACAAAGTCCTAGAGTAAATATCAACTCTGCAATGCAGGTACATTCAGCTGACAAGTCCCAAGTAAGAAGAAACGCTAGTCCTGAATTCCACTTCTAGCTACCATCTATCTCTATATATGATTCAAGGCAATATTGAACAAATCCACACAGGATGTATAAATGGTTGCAGTCCTAAACATCAGTGGGAAGTTTCAAACAAACAATATAAAAAACAAAGCAGCAGGTTAACTTTTATCGAAATTTATCATTATGAATGGAGAAGACTACTTACTGCTTAGTATGGATTTAAAGTTTATTTTATATTGTCACATGCCCACTAGTGGATAGCTTCAGGTTGCGATTCCTGGAGTTCTAATGTGCAGCTGTGAACAATACAGTTCAGCCACGTTGGGTTTAAGATGGTTATCCACGGAAAACAATAAAAGAATAGTACGTAGTATCATAAAATTGGTTAAACTTAGACTCATAGACCTTCGGATGCCGGCTCGGCGATCTAGAGATTAAATGTTCGTACACAAGATCGACATTTCTGTGTTCCATCTTATGTGGAATACTTTTGAGTCTCCAATTGTAGTCTAGCTAAGAACAGTTTGTATATTCCTTCAAAAAAATAAAATTTCTGAAGCAGTCACTTGGTACAAAACATTGAAACACGTAGATTTAGAATAAAATAGTTTACTGCCAACTTCACCTATCTGAAATATGGAAAATTATGTCCAATTTAAATATCTGTAACTGTAACCTAAAACGAATACAAATAGTTGTTAATTAAGTTAAAATTGAGAAATTTAAAGTTTTATGAAAAAGCCTTTCCAAATGATTGATGTGAATATGGTTTGTAATACTTGTGAATAGTTTTTATACAGTAATTATCTTTTAAGTTGAATGATTCATTGAAATTCTGAAAAATTTCATCAGTACATATGATTAATGCTGAATTGAACTTTGTCCAGTAAGACAATTATAGATTCATCGTTAAGCAATGTAGTGTAAAGGACGTGACATTATGAAATAATTGATAATGTTTAATAATAGTAATAATAATAATAATAAGGTTGAAGAAGCTACTGAAATCAGCAGAGGTATGAACCATTAGAGGAAGAGAACATAATGTTTTATACACACATCAACAAACAAATAAACACAAATAGTCACTCATATATCTCAAGGTTAAATTCTAGAAAATACAAAAATGGAATTACAGTGAAAAATTCACTATTCAATTATTTCTCCCTATTATTGTTATTATTATTATTATTATTATTAAAAGTATTAGTAGCTTGAAACACAGACATTTCACTGAAACGAATAACATTAAACTAGGATACATCATGATGGTCATGAGAAAATTAAACATATTTTTTTAAGAGCAAAAAGGAAAACAAAGTAAGAGTCATGACATACCCTTTAATAAACACATAGAACAAAGCACATCTCATTGAAGCTATGTTGACATATATTCACAATATATATATATATATATATATATATATATATATATGTCCGCTTGATGTCATTGTTGTTGAATTGTGGCTTTTCGACATCATATCAGACCTGTGATGTTCTTGCTTGTTTGTTATTCTTGTTTCTTTTTTCTCCAATTTGATCTGTGATGTATGGAAGTATGCCTGTTTGTTTGTCTATGAATATTACTTAAAAGAGTATATAAATACTTTTATCGTTATCATTTTTATTGTTGTTGTGTGTATTTTCTCTCATTTTTTTTTGGGTGAAATTCAATATAAGTGAGTTAGTTGTGTTTTCAACTTGTGCTCCTGTCTTTCCACTATTGAGTACTTTGTTATATTTCATCATACTCATCTTTTCTTGTTCAACTTATCTCTCAAAATAAACAAGAAACAGATATATATATATATATATCTATACAGAAACACACAAGTACCAAATACATTCTGGGAAATGAACCGTGATATAAATGAACAGACAGATAGATAGACAGACAGACAGATATATGCATTATCATACATAGGACAAATATGATTTACAGACATACTTATATTAGACATATAGATTTACTTATTCAATTTCCCAAAAATAAATATCAGAATTAAAAATGAAATGGTTTTTATATGTATTGAAATTTATTTCTCATTTACATTATTATAAAAAAAGATAAATAATCATAACAATATGGAATACCATTTCTTTCATATGAATAATTGGTATTATGATAGAATTTTTATCTAACCAGATGGAAACTATTATCATTATTCATTGCTTATCTCATTCATACTAAACAGAATCCTTGTTATATTCATTGATCATCTATGAAATTGGATTATTAAAAGAGAAGAAAAGACTGGAATAGTTCAGTACAAAAAAAATTTGATCAGTCAACTCTAATTCTTTCAATATTAGTGAATGAAATAAGAGAAAGAAAGAAAGAAAGAAAGAAAGAAAAAGAAGATAATTCCATTTGACTATTTTCTTATTATCATAGAAACTGTTCATTTTATTATCCTTTTTTTAAGTGATAAAGAAATTGTAACAGATATAACTATTACCACAAGAAAGGAATTGGGTTTAGACAATACTGGAACGTTTACTATTACTATTATTATTATTATTATTACTATTTTATCGAATCATTTTATGTACTGTGATCTCCTATTTATAAATATCTATTATCATATCCTATGTATCCAATGGTTATCAATCTAGTTTATTCAAATTTATTGATTTCATTGATTGATTGGAATTATAAACTACAAATCAATTTAAATGAATGCAATATTACATAATCATCATCATTACTTTGATATTATACATAGCAACATAATCTATTATCATTAACATTAATTTCTATATTTTTAATAGTATTATATGAATAGGCGAATTCTTGTTGTTGTTGTTGTTGTTGACAATTATGATCTCTTAATTGATTTTAATGGATAATTATTGGTAATAAGTAGTATATGATGCATTTATTCATTTCCGATCCATACAAATTCAATTTTTCAAATGTGTATTCATAAGAAATTTCCATATATATAGTTCCTTTTCTCACAAATCAAAGAACATTCATTTGTATGAAAAAAAGGTTTTCATGTTAAATAGATCAATGTTATCTTGGTATAAACCATTTAATCATCAAGTATTACTTATATTTCAAAAGATTACATAGAAGAAACAAGCAAACAAACAACAAACAAACAGACAAAACATTATTACATAATAAATAATAGCAGAAATCCGGCTTCCTCTAATACAAATAATAATAATAATAATAAAGTGATTTTACATCATAATATTTGCATTAAATTAAATGATCATCTTATTCAAACGGACAATATTTGTGATATTATCATTATCCATTGTTAATATCTATGCAAATTGTTACAATTAGATCAATATAGGTTTACTGAATTGATCAGATTTCCTACTACATTCTAAATAATAATCATAAGAAGAAGAAGAAGAAGAAGGAGAATAACAAAAAAGAAAACAGACAATAAAAAAAAGGGACCCAACACTTTACTAAACATACGGATTCTTTATCCTAAGTGTTTACTGACTTATTATATTATATGGTTTATACAGTTAGTTTTCTTTGGATTATATCATATTAAAGAGAATAATACAATAGAAATATAATATTAATATACAAGAATTATATACATAATAATTATCAATGGCACGTGGAGCTGGTGGTTTATTAGATGGTGGATTTGTATTTAAATTAGGCAGATTATTTAAAACTCCATATGGTGGAGAAGGTGTTGATTTTATTGATCAATTAAATTATCAATTTACTGGTGGACTAATGGTTATATTTATAGCAATTATCAGTTTTCGACAATATGTTGGTAAGTGATTTTATTCCCCCTTACTTTTTTGTATTTCTTTGATAAATATATTACAATTATGATGATATTGATGGATACATGTTTTCATTTTTATATTCATTCCAAAACTCAATTTCTTTTTCGGTAATATGAATGTTTCTTTTTTTCAGCGGGGGGGGGGAGAGGGGAATGAAACAGTCTATAGTTTTTAAATACAAATATAATATGATATGAAAATAGAATACAAAATTTTTTTTGTAAATTTAATTACTCGTTTAAAGATCCTCATCATATTAAAAGACTAATATTTGAACGAAGAATATTCTTTTCGATAAATTCTTCAGTTTCTTCATTTGGATGACTACTGACAAGGTTTGATCTTATAAATAATTGAAAAAAGATTGGTTTATACTGACACTATGATCAGTTTGTATCAAATGGGTCAATATTGAGCTGTTCACTTTCTTCATCAAACCTTTGTTTAATCACGTTGGGAGGTGTTCACGAACACGAAAATGTAAATTCCTAGATCTTCAACCAATATAAATCGCTCCATAGGAGCAGGCAAACTGATAAATACATTTGACTGAATTGTAATAGCAGTATTACTTCTCTCACCCTATTTGACTCATATTTATTCTGATCATGGATCTTGAACTTCACTTAACATATATCCAGATTCAAGTTAACATTCTATCTGAGTCATATTAACATTAACAATTTTATTGTAGTTTGTTTATCACAATCCTAAATTCATATACTTTAAACGATGTATTTTGCCCTAAACCTGGGCATTCTTCGGATTATTAATTTGGATACAGAATTGTAGAACCTGAAGAGAATTTATCGAAAAGAATATTCTTCGTTCAAATTTAGTTACTACTGACATATGCTAATTCATTCACTTTCCTATTTTCTTTTTATTCTTGATAACGTTTAAAGAAACTTGTTTCCTTTTTTTACACTTTTAGTGAAACTTACATTCAGTAAAATATTGAGATAATTTTATTTGGTATTTATTTTTTATCTCAAACAAGCATCCAGCTTCAATTTTCATAAAATGATCACTATTTGTTAACAGTTAATCCCTATTTAAACATTAAAAATTAAAAACACGATGTTCAGCAAAGGGATCTCTTCTCAACGAATTTATTATCAAGCTGTACACAATCGTACATATGTGAATACGAGAACATATCCTAGTTTGATTCTACATGAATGAAAGGAAAACAGTTAGGAGTTCTATACTTGAACACTGTAATCGTTCTACAGATCCAAATTTTGATTTTACGGTTGTTTATATGACTCGTTTAAATCTACCTAGATTTCTTCGAATCCAACTCTTAAAAGTAGCCGATCATGAGCTCAAACCAAAATTATGCGTACAAAAAAAGTACGTCTTATCGTTATCGTTATTTTAGCCTTAATTAATATTACTATTATTACTGCATTCCCCTTGTATTCTCATTATTTTATCCATAAATACTCATCATATCTCCTTGTTTATTTCTACACCCTTATGACCTTTAATTATTGTAACAAAAACATCTTAATCATCTTATTATATCCACTAAATCGAATGTTATTTTTCGTATTACGTACTCTAGTATAATAATCATTCTATTACATTATCTTGGTTATTCGTGTTCACATTTCCTCATGGAATTAGTACTTTAACAAATAAAAATATTGTCATATATATGTACGATTGTACAGCTTGATAATAAATTCGTTGAAAAGAGATCCCTTCGCTGAACTTCGTGTTTTTAAACTTACTATTTATGATTTTGACTGAAAGTACTGTCTTAATGATTAATAAATAGTAGCAATAATACTGATAATAATAATAATAATAATAATAATAATTATTATTATTATTATTATTATTATTCTATATGACTTTGGTCAGTAATAAAAGAAAGTTGGTTAGGTATACTTTAATTCACTTTAAATGTTTTTTCTTTTCTTTTTACAAAAAGAATAAACATATTTTATACATTTAATTGACATTTACTTACAATAAATCTATATAATTCATAATAAATAACTCTAATCGATCACTATCAATCACTTGGAAACAGGATGTAATCTTCCTTTTAAGTAAAAAATAAACAGGGACTAAGTGAACGAGTAAATGAATGAATAAGTGAGTGAATGAATGAATGAATGAATAAACTGAATAAATTAGTATACACGCAAAACACTGGGAAAAAAAATGATTGGGAATATAGATGAGTCTTATCAGTATTATTATTATTACTATATTCTTTTTTTCTATCGAAAAATAAACAAATTTTCTTTTCTTCATGAAGGATATTTCTGGAACAAAAAAAAACTAAAAAAATGTTTCTAAAATACTTTAAATTAAATGGATTGAAAAAAAGAATCAGAATTCGTTTTTTGCGTGGGGGGGGAGGAGGGAAATAAATTAAAACCCTGAGGAATGAACATCATCCATTCATTGGTATATAAATATATAGTATGATTAATACCTTGGTTTATGTATTTATTCAATATTTTACAATACATGACATATAGATATATATCATATATTGTATTAGTGATTATAATAATAAAATTCTAATATAAAGTATTAAATAAATTAATGGACATATACCGACAAAAGAATTGAACATATATCCTGAATTATTATTATTACTGATACTAATACTATCCATTTTATTAAGAGATTTTCATAGATGGTTACAAAATTGATCTAAATTTTGGATTTATTATGGAAAGATAATATTTTGTCCTCCCCCCTCTCTCTAGATACACATATATACATATATTGATTTTTTGTTTATCGAGTTAAAGATAGTGTGATAATTTAAAGTGAGTTGTTATGTAGATAATTGAACAAGTGTTTATTCATTTATTTATTTGTTTATTGTTTCAATTACATTCGAGCTGTCCATTTATCATTTTTACTTAAAATAGTAACAAGGACAATAAAAATTATTGACTGAAGTATTTTTTGGGGGGGGAGTTCAAACAGTTTACTTAACTTTTTTTAAAAAAATCATAGTTTCATTGGCATGATTAGATGAGTTGTTGAGTTCAATAACTTTTGATAACAAAAATTAATTTTAAAATTGATTAGTTGTGGCTTAAATAATTCAATGGTAACATTTAAGTTATGAAGCTGAATGACATTGATTGATATCTTACACAAGCATCAGTTCAATTGAAGTTATGCGGTTGCATTGATGTAATTAGTTTAAATGAGCATGGAACCTAGTCTTAGGGACTGATGTTAGTCATTTTTACTCATCTAATGTATATAATATAAATTTACAAATATTTCATCACACATTTATCTATCTAATAAAAGTTACATAATTACTATGAATGTGAGTTAATAAATGTGGTGAGTATAGAGGCACAAGACAGTCACTGAGATTATGGATTGTTTGATCAGTTTCATCTCCCAATTAACTGATAGTTAAAACAATCCGAAATTCATTATCTCTTATAGAAATTAACTGTTTTGAATAGTTTAAATGACATATTTAAACAACTCTTTACACGTGGAACTTCTGGTATAGCATTCTATACATAGATTTACATACAGTTGTTGTCATAGTGACCAATATATATACGTTTATATAACTTGAAGGAGAGACAAAATGTTTAATAAAGTTTTACTTTCATTGTATCAATAAGTTGGTTAACCAAAAAGAATCATGTTCAACTTATGGTTGACTTGTTTAAACGTAAAGGATGAATGATTAACCTACTACAATAAAACTTATTACCTTTTCAATATATATGTATATATATATATCCCTACTTAAACTGATCAATCAGATATTTTAAAATGAAGCACTGAAATTGATGAAATGTTTCCATGTCATCTAAATAGATATTTTATTGAACTAAAATTTGGACAAAAACAAACTGTATTGTTTTATAGATTAGAAAATCAGTAATAAAAATTCCCACTCTGACTAGGTATATTGTAATCCTTCAACTTTATGTTTATTTGTTTGCCAATTACTCGTTATATAGTAAAACAAATAAGTGACTGATTGGTTTGTACGTTGAAGAATTTTATTCATTGGTGAAATCGATCAATTTCCAACTAGTGGATAACGGTTTCGAGTTCTGTTCTTCTTGTTTTTGGTTTCCAATAGCGTAAAGTTATGTATTAGCACCAGCTGTAACATAAAAAATATTAAAGTATAAAACTGGGTGCATCATTATGTACTTTATGAATTAGTTACGATGAGCTACATTATTCCCTATTTTATATAGGAATAAATATTTTCAATTTGTTATTTGATAATCTAATAAGTTAGTGATTTTTCTTTTCAGTACTTAACACAACCAGTTAAACAAATGGATAAATTACCAAGAAACTTCAATTTATACATAGAAAACTATAGTGTGGCTATATATTATACTGTAGTGAACGAGGTCTTAGTGGGGATAGCCAACTGAATGCTTAATGAAAAATTACACAATGAGTTTGTAAAATATGAAAATTCTACATTAAATACATATCTTCCTTCAGTTGTCCTTTACCTACTCCACTATTTTTCTAATTCTGTTGTTATTTGATTGTTCCCCAAGTTCCTTTCTGTTCTTTCCAATTCAATCTTCAGTTGACAGGCATTCCATTACCGATTGCTGCTAAATACTATTTATATCTGTCAGCGTAAGCAGCACACACTACAATACCACTGAATCCATCCAACTCCAAATAGTAACTTTTAGTGTTCTGCACCAATATCCGATAAGTACAGCCAGCTGATATTGATTCTATCACGAGCTTTATAGTAGGAACTTTCATTTAGAGTTTAAATCATCAAAGATCATACCATTTTATAGTGTTAATGGTACTGTAAGGAAGCTAAATCGCGTGAAACATTTGTTTCTTTTAATATAAATCATGTCATTATTTTTATATTGAATAATAAGCACGGTTATGTTAAACGAATTATTTATCACTTACATGTATTATAAATCACTGCCTTGCAATGTTATTCCACTAACATTTAAAGGAGTCTATATTTATC